CTCCCTTAACGCTAAATTTTGAATTAGTGACTACATCCTTGTAGTGGAAGGGTGCCACGGAAACTAAGATTGGTGATGTTTGATTTAGTAAATTGGTTGAGGCAATTTCCCAGCATTGTTTTGAGCTTTAGTAAAGTTCATGTTGCTTGCATGATGTTCGGCAAAATGCCTGGCTGTGAGATTGAGAAAACTTTACATACTAACCAAACTCCGAATAAGAGATTCATCGAAAGTAAAGAGTCCTTAGATCATGAATATTACATATCACTAACTCATGACAATTTTTTTTTTTATTTGGTGTCTCAACAGGATATGACATGTATTAAAACAAGTATTGATCACTTCATGGAATAAATGGTTTGCAGTAAAGTTAGGACGAGAAGGATAGCAGCAACAATCTGAGAAATAACGGCCCACGGCTTCGCAAAATAATTGCGTGTATAAAAAGCTCGCCATTTAGGCAACAATTTCTTCTGATATTCATTCACTTCCGAGCAAAGCTTTTGGTAATAAATCTCTTTCAAAAAAGCATCATGGTATAGCATCTTAAAGAACTGCGTCGTGTCATGTGGGTTAAGCCAGTTGATAAGAATCCCACTCTTGTTGAGTTCTTCCATGTCCTGTTCATTATTGATAAGGTTGTCCAAGAGTATAGCATAGCATGTAACTCTGGGAGAACAGTTTGGATAACATTGCTCGTAGCTGATCAGATTTCGGAAGACAGGTTCAATGGTTTCTTGGATGCGAATTGATGGCATTTCCAGAGTGCCTCTCCTGAATTTGACATCTAGGATGCTTGATGATCTCACTTTCCTGAAACTGATTCCAGATTCTTTGATGCTGGTGGCAGAAGGGATAGGCTGCCATGATTTAACTGACTTTACTTTGCCTTGCTCTTCTCCAAGTGGCAACACCAAAGAACTTCTTAACAAATCAAGAATGTGCTGGATTTCTTCATTGGCAAAGAGATCTAGTTGTATAGGAGAGTGGTCATATAGAAACATGTCGTCGAAGAAATCCAAGGCGAGTTGAAGTAGGGACTTGGATTCAGACGAACCTCCTGTTGAGCTAAACAGAAGCTCCAGCACAAACCAGGGTATTTGATTTTCTAGCAAAATCAAGTCATGGCATAAGAACTGAAGCATACAGGAAATAGAGAAAATGGGATCATTTTTACCTCTCGGTACCACTCCAGCATCCTGCTTCCTGAATAGTTCAACAATGAAGCAGCCATCAAGCACCAACATTTCAATGAATGCCTGTTTGGTCATATGAATTTCTTCTGCGTAGCACCCTCGGGCTTTTGCTTCGTTATTTGTGATCACTTCGATGCAATTCATTAGTGTTGTCTCCAGATCACCTATTCTGCTCAGAAGGCCTTGTAAGTAGTCAAACTTGATCTTCTGATTGTCTTCGAGATCTTTCTCACCATGGTGAAACGGCCCGATGGAAAATGCGTTGGGGGTGTATGCTTCCTTATTGTGCCTGCGAAGTATGCTGGGAATCCTGAAGATGCAAGGCGAGGATGAACTTATAGTATCACCTCTCATCTTGCTCCTCATGTTAAATGCCATGGATTCAATTTCTCTTGCCATTATCAACTTCTTCCCTCTCCAAGTACGTTTAAGCAAGAATATTTTCGGGGAAAAATGAAGGTAGAGAGTTTCTTAAACAAGGTAGTATATATATTTGAAGAAAATTCGTTGAGAACTCAGCTAAAAAGGGTTCTGTTTTAAATTTAATCTCTGCAACATAATTTTATTATGATGATTGTTAAAGGGATACTTTGCGTTCCATGAACGAATGTGCATACTTTAGTTGTTTAATATTATGTCTTTTTTGGTTTTTCTAACCTATACTTTTTCACCATTAATTTGTATAAAAAATTATTTTTTTTATGTTGATTGCACAATGAGAGGCAATTTTCTCTCATATCTTATCTCACTCTACCCACATACAAACTCGAATTTAGAACCTCTTACTTCCAGTGAAAGGAGATTACTACTAAATTATTTAAGTCGTTGATGTATAAAAAATTATTAGTAAATTTTTTTTTCAATATCAGTAACACTTAGAACAATTCATAGTTAATAAAGTTAAAATTAATTTTTATATTTTTTTTAATGTAAATTAATGATAAAAATATAAAATAAATGTACTCTTAATTTTT